ATTGACCAGCTCAAGCATCCGACAGCTAAAACTACATCCCGCAGTGAGGTTTATCCGCTAACACTGCTAAATAATACTTAAATCAGCTCAAGACGGCGTCAAAACCTATAAGCCTGAAATGAGCATCCTGATAGATCATGCCTTAAATTTTGTTGGCACTATCACAATTATTCGAAAATTGTGTGGTGGACCGTCTGCATTAATTGGCACTATTCACGATGTGAATGGCATCTTTTTTGCTTTCACCATGCGCAAAGCCAAGCTTTAGAGGAGGAATTACGTATGGGACGAAGAAATGTTTAATGAAAATTAGACCGAACTTGGCTATTTTTGATAAACATGACGTGAATTTATATATTTGTAGCAAATTTATCACGCTTATGCTGGCAGCAACTCTTCAGAATGTAGAAAGGGCGATAAAACTCACGTAAGAAATGAGAATCTGTTTAGCATTATACTATCCCAAGCCCGCTGGCCCACTCCATCAATAATTATTATGACGGCCATTTTTGAGATAGGCGAGCCGATGTTCCGTGTGGGGCGTATATTCGTAAGCACTGGTGAGTCATATGTAACAAGAAGCACGGATACAAGGAGCAGTATGTAGGACAGCAAACAAACGAGCAACGTTGTAGGTCGAGTTTTGCAATACATCGCTAGACGAGTATAGGCAGGGGTCTACTTAGGCCTGTGAAGAAAAAAAGTACATAAAAATTAAAGGGGTCAGACGTTTTCATACGGGGGTAAGCCCGGGCGACAGCAAGAAATTGTTATCGGGGTACCGAGTTTGATGACAAAAAGTCCAATAATTCTGCATATGTTCTGAACAACATAATGTAATGCAGAATAGGCATTGAAAAAATGAGGAGTTTAACTTACGGATACAGAAGAAGTCGGATCCCTATAATATCAGGTTATTTTAGAAATCAAGGGTCTTCTGTGTAACTCCAGAGAGTTAAGATATGTTTTCAGTCAGTTTCGATAAATGAACTGGTTAATACACACCCAAAAATATCAGTCCGAAAACCTTATTGCTTATCCATTTTTAGCTTGACGTATAAAAGTCCTAGCAAAATACTTTGACTTGCGAAAGATTTTGGTGGCCAAAAACGTTGAGGTTGGCAGAAATGAGTGATGTCAAATGCTAAGACTGATTCAAATGGAGTTGCTAAACATGCCAGCGCTCATCCATACGAGAAGAGGCAATAAGGGTTCAGCTAGTCATAAGAGTGTAATATATAGTAAACGTTCATATGAACTAACACGGATTTAATATATAATGATGAAACAAATGTGATAAAGAGATGAGTTACGGTCAGGGGCAACTTCTTTGGGTGGAGAGTAACGTTTAAATGTCGGTTAGACAACGGATGGAGAATAAAGCGTTGTGTGCAACTGCAGAGAGGGTTTGCGCCAACGTAATGAGTGGAGTGTGCTCCCAGATTAACACGCAAAATATCCCACTCGTCTGCTGATGTCAAATTATAAACGATAAACAGCAGCGAAATCAGAACATGCGGTGGTGACGGCGAGTGCCTGTTTCTGTTCACATTTTTACCACATTCAAACATGATTTTAGATAGATTCAGCTGTATGAAAACATTGAAGTTAAATAGGAAATGTGCATAGAACTATAAAACCTTCCTTCCTCTGGAGCCTTCTTTGTCGAAAAATAACGTTAAATTAAAAACTGTAAGAAACAACAT